TTTACCACCAATTATGAATCAGAGAATATTTAGAGTTTTATTGCCCCCAGTTCGGCTGCTAGCCTTACTCCAACTATCAAAGCTTTATACTCAACTTCGTTGTTTGAGGCCTAAAATCCAAGCCTGAAGGCTTTCTCCAAAATACATCTAACTGGACTCACTAAAGTAAGGTCAATGCTGGCACCTTTTTGATTTGAAGACCCATCAACAGATAGGGTCCAACAACCGCTGAGCTATGCTTTTTGATTATCAGTTTGTTTGTTCTCCTCCGAGCTATTTTTAGGTTGAAATTCTGCAACAAAGTTTATCACTACCTGACCCTTGATTGCCTTCCTCGATTCAAACACATTGTCGAACTCCCCGAGCTCGACAGCCCATTTAGCAACGCGTCCAGATAGGTCGACTTTCTGAAAGAGTGACTTCATTAGCTGGTCAACGAACACTGTGATTTGGTGAGCTTGGAAGAAATGTCTGAGCTTCCTAGCCGAGCTAACTAGTGCGAGCGCAAGCTTCTCTAATGGTGTATACCTCGATTCTGTATCTAAGAGTATCTTGCTCACGTAATAAACATATTTCAGCTTTTCACAATCATTTCTTATCAGCGCCCCACTCACTGCATGTTCTGATACAGCTAGGTAGAGGAAAAGTCTTTCCTCAGGTGATGGGGTCGAGAGGACTAATGGGGAGACCAAGTATGCTTTAAGATTTACAAATGCTTCCTCGCATTCCTAACTCCAGAGTGCCCCTTCTTTCCTTTGATTGACTAGAAGAACGATCTGCGCCTATCAGATGCTCGGGATATGAACCTTTCGAGGGCGGCTGCCATTCCAGTTAGCCTCTGTACCTCCTTTATAGTCTGAGGTGATTACAACTCAGCGATGGCCTTTACTTGATCGGGGGTTAACCTCTACTCCTTAGTGGGTAACTAGGAAGCCAAGGAATTTCCCTGTCCAACCCCAAATGCACAATTTAAAGCATTTAATTTCATCTTGTATCTCCGTAAAACATCGAATGTACTTTTCAAGTTGGAATAGTGACTAGCGACTTTTCGACTCTTCACCACCATATCATCGATATAAACCTCAACTGTACTGCCTATCATGTGTGAGAACATCTTGGTTACCAACCTTTGATATGTCGCTCTTGCATTCTTCAACCCGAAGAGCATTACCCTGTAATAGTATGTCCTTTCAGGCATTACAAAGGCAGTTTTTTCCTAATCTTCCTCAGCAAAGGGAATTTGGTGGTACCCCCTATAGGCTTCCAAGAAGCTCATTTACTCATGTCTAACAGTTGTATCGACCAACTGGTCTATTTTTGGTAGGGGAAGCTGTCTTTTGGACAAGCTTTTGTTGAGATTAGTGAAGTTAACACAGACTCTCCATTTCCCATTCTTCTTCTTCACCACCACGGTGTTTGACAACCAGGTCGGGTATTGTACTTCCCTAATTATTTGGGATTCAAGTAATCCTTCTACTTCTTCTTTTACGGCATCCTGATGCTGAGAAGCCGATCTCCTTAGCTTTTGCTTGACTGGCTTGAAGCTCGAATCAACGTTCAAATGGTGACATGCTACTTCGGACGGTATGCCAGGCATATCACTTGTGCTCAAAGCAAAAATGTCGGCATATTCTCGCAATAGGGTGACGAGTTCTTTTTGTTGCTCGGGGCTGAGAGCCGTTCCCAACAGAAAGTATTTTTCCCGATCTCCATCCTTGTCTAAAGGTATTTTAGTTAAGTCTTTGATTGTTCGGTCTGTAACTTCCCTTTCTGCACCTAAAGGTACTTTAGGGCTTTTTATGACAACTCGTTCGGCAGAATCAACTAAGCTGTCAAATGTTGATTGCTATTTCGCCTTTTCGGTTATTGAATTTCTTTCCTGAACCTTTGCTCCATCTTTGGCTCTAGTCGAGGCCAGTAAACAAGTTGGGGAACTGACTTGGTCCCCTCGAATGTTCATTATCCCTTCGTTTGAAAGGAATCATAGCATCTAATGATACATTGATGGCACCACATTCATCTCATGTAGCCAGGACCGCCCCATTATCACTTTGTAAGCCGAGACCGTATCCACTACTAGGAATTCGGTCATGACACAAATAGGTCAAGTTTTTACAGGCAGCGTGATCTCCCCCCTAAGAAGAATTATTTTACCATTGAAGCCAATAAGTGGAGTATTTGAGGGCTTAAGATCCCCCTTCTTAAGACCGAGCTTTACGAAGAGATCCATATACATGATTTCTGAAGAACTCCCTAGATCAATTAAAACCCTTCTCACATCATAATTTGCAATTCAAAGTGTAATGACTAACGCATCGTTGTGCGGTTGATGAACTCCAACCCAATCCTGCTTGTTGAAGCAGATGGCCTCGACTGACTCCACCTCAATTCTTTTGTTCATAACCTCCAGGGTTAATCGTAATTTGTAGACCACCCTCTCTTTGGCAGCTTTCTGAATATATACCCTAGCAGAGTTGTTTGTACACATTTGTGGATTCATCGCAGCGTGGATCACATCAATCACCCCAACTGGTGTGTTGTGATCTTTTTTTGATTCGATCTTCCCTCCGTCAGCTCTTGTTCCACCTTCGATGAACTCGATGAGATGTCATGGACCAGTTCTTCCAATTGCTGCTTCAAAGATCGATACTTCTCTGTCATGTGACCAACATCCCGATGATATGAACACCTAAAGTTTGGATTCCTTTTCGATGGATCTCCTATTAGCTTATTAGGCCACTTAAAGAACGGCTTTGCTTTGCTTTGATTTAATATCTTGTATATAGGTTCCTTAAACAACGTATTTACCCCAAGAAAAGGGGACTTTTCGGGATAGCCTTCTTTCTTATTTTTCCTCCCACCCTCTCTGCTATGCTCAATTTGCCTGTCATTGCCGAACTGCCTCCTACTTTGATGCTCTTTAATGACATCTCTCGACAAGTCGTCATCGACTTTGGCATATTTCTCGATCCTTGCCATCAATTCTTCCGAGTCTGTGGCTGACCTTCTGGTGAGTGAATGGTATAGCAGGATCTCCTTTGACAATCCAATTTTGAAGGACGCAACTGTGATTTCAAGTTTACATCCTTCCACCTCATTCATCGTTTTCCAATAGCGATGAGCATATTCACGTAGAGTTTCATTATTCTTCTTCTTCAATGTCAGCAGAGCGTCGACATCCTTTGGCTGTTTACTACTCGTAATGAACTGAGCTGTGAACTGCTCGGCCAGTTGGGACCATCCATCTATTGATCCATTCGGCAAGCTATCAAACCACTTCATAGTCAACTCTCGAAGACTGCTAGGAAAGATAGTGCAAAATAGGGGTTCATTCCTTCAATGAATGCTCATCAACTGCATGTAATATTTGATATGAGAGGCCGGGTCAGTCTTCCCATCGTAAAGTTTTAAACTTTGGGATGACAAACTTGCTAGGGATTCGCCACTCTCTACCTATGCAGTGAAAGGTGACGACTCCAAGCCGTCTCCATATTCTCCTGTTGCTCTTCTGGCTAGGTCTCTAGCCGATCTCTGTTCTGGTCGTCTAAGACGGTTGTTGAGTTCCTCAGTGATATACTATTTCCAGGCATCCTCCTTCTGGATCCGAGATTTCTTATGCTGGTACTTGTTATCTTTGGCACTTTTGATTCTGTTCGGTTTCTTTTCGAGACTTTTACGCCGATCTTCTTTAACACGCTTCTTCTTAGTCATCTCTTTTAGCTTAGCTTTTAGTATTTCGTTATCTTTTATTAGGATTTTCTCCCGGGCGTATGATCTCTTGAACAGTTTATCATAAGCATCAAGGCGGTCCTGCAGGGATTGGACCAGCTTTGCTAGGGAATGGTTCTCCCTCTCGGCATAGAGGGATTCTCCACGATCTTTAATCTACTAGTTTTGATTCTGACTTTGCTTGAAGCTTTCTGAGGATACCTTGTCATCCTCGTGGGACCCAGAGGGGCTTTTGTTCATATGCAATCCAACGTGACTATCAGACGGAAATGACGCTGGATTTGAATTACCCATGGCAAAACTGTCTCTAGGTGATCCAATAGCACTTATAAGTCTTGACATTATGGCTTTTTGTTCGGTTGATAAGAAATCTTCCCACAGATGGCGCCAAAAAATGTTAGGGATAAAAAAAAGGATGAATTACCTCTCAATGGAATTGGACTAGATATTTCTAGTAAAGTTTGTTTCTGAACTATATCTCCAAATCTTCTCTTCTTGCAAAATGAACAAACTGCCCAAGATCGAAGGCACTCTGATGTTTAAGTCAGTAATGGAACAAAGGTGATTGCTAGAAGAAAAAGGAGAGTTCAACGTACCTTTCTCCTTGACTTCTTCTACTTTTTATAGATCATTATCCCATTAGGATTTTCGTGATTTTTAATTCAAGGTGGCACACCTTTCTTCGATATAGCGATTCAGTTTGAGAATTGCTGATATTTCTCCAACAACTCTTCCTGTCAAATCTACAATTTTGTGATTTTGCTCATTCAAGATGCCTAAGTTAAAGGCTTATATTTCTCTTTCCATCTACTGTTTCGAACAGCTCGGACAAAATGAGAACCGAGCATATTTGATGCTTATCGGACTTGTCAATTAATTTAGTTTGGCATAAGCCGTGCTCTTTAATTGCCTTGCCGAACAAATTGATCAATTCGACTAGGTCCATTTGACTATATAGCTGACGTCTTCGTCACGTGCCTGGACTTATCATCCTCACGTGAGCTCATTAATTGTTATAACACGTGTAATAACGAGCCCCTTCAATTTATATATACATACTGTGGAAAACTCAATTTATTTCGAGCCTGCCTGTCTTNGCTAGGTCCATTTGACTATATAGCTGACGTCTTCGTCACGTGCCTTGACTTATCATCCTCACGTGAGCTCATTAATTGTTATAACACGTGTAATAACGAGCCCCTTCAATTTATATATACATACTGTGGAAAACTCAATTTATTTCGAGCCTGCCTGTCTTTGTTTTGCAAGGATTACCCATGAACGTACGTACTTGGAAGATTTGCCACTCGAGGTGCAGAATAATGACCACTGCAACCCATCACTGCCTCAAATATTTCCTCCGAACTCAGTTCACTCGTTCTTGACTCAACAACCCACTTGTTGTTCCTCGAGTCGACCTGCTCAACTCGGACCAATTCAGTATTGAACAGTATCAACTCAACGAGTCCAAAGTCTTTAGCAAAGTCATCCAAAAACTTTAGCACTTCTTCATGCCCAGGAAAAATCCTAGAATCGCCATATNATTCAGTATTGAACAGTATCAACTCAACGAGTCCAAAGTCTTTAGCAAAATCATCCAAAAACTTTAGCACTTCTTCATGCCCAGGAAAAATCCTAGAATCGCCATATTGGTTAGAGGTAAATGGGTAGTCGGAGAAGCCCATAGCGTGTCTGGGTAAGTTGGTGCGAAGTGAGAAATAGAGGCTACTATGAACAAAATCTTTATTAGAATNATTGGTTAGAGGTAAATGGGTAGTCGGAGAAGCCCATAGCGTGTTTGGGTAAGTTGGTGCGAAGTGAGAAATAGAGGCTACTATGAACAAAATCTTTATTAGAATCGAGGCCGAGTGGATCGGCCTCAACTCGGGGGTCATACATCCATGTTCCACCGACTCGATTTGCTTTTTCATTCAACACGGGCGGCAACAAGCTCAGCAACCCCAGCTCCGATCACCGCCACCTTCAATGACCGTGCCATAGTATATATGTATTTAACTATATAAGGTTAGATGGGTGATGAACAAGACAGTTCATATTATATAACGTGTGTGATGCTAGGCATAAGGTTTATTTAATTCCCTAGGGACAGTTTTTCATTTTCACAGGGTAGACAATATTTTTATTGCGGTGAAGAAATCATAGCTTATTGGAGCTAAAAAAATGGGGTTTTGCCCCCCTCCAAACGTTACGATAGGAGTAGTCATAATTGATATATCGTTTTGGTTTGCATTCATTTTGGAGTTTTCCTTTGAATTGTCTTCACCAATTATATGAAATTATTATTTTTGACATCAAAAAATACATTGATTTTTAGTAATGATCATGAATAATATAAGTTATTGATTGTACATTTGCATTATGAAGATCTCTAATTACAACAAACAAAGTAAAGGTGATAGTTTAAAGAAATAAAACAACTGATATTGTTATAATTTCAGGCTTGTTTGTGTCAAGGAGTTAGATCAAGGTTATGCCCCATCCACAAAGAGCGAAAGAGCTACCTAGTGATCCATAGGTTGCAGCATCTCGTCGTGCGGCTGCCGCCATTTCTAGGACCGCTTCACTTCTATCGATACATACCTACATATATAGTGTAGTGTTGGCTGCACATTCAATGTATCGTTCGGATTCATATAATGATGAAATAATTATATGTNGGACCGCTTCACTTCTATCGATACATACCTACATATATAGTGTAGTGTTGGCTGCACATTCAATGTATCGTTCGGATTCATATAATGATGAAATAATTATATGTTAGATGTATATGTCTCTTACATAATTTAAAGGCTAAATTGAAACAACTAAAAAAAGACCGAAGACATTTAGACGGAGGACATATTTGGTGGATCCCGTAAGATATTTTATTATCCGAAAGGTGCACAAATTTCAAAGAAATGGTAGTTACGACAGCTCATTCATNGTTAGATGTATATGTCTCTTACATAATTTAAAGGCTAAATTGAAACAACTAAAAAAGACCGAAGACATTTAGACGGAGGACATATTTGGCGGATCCCGTAAGATATTTTATTATCCGAAAGGTGCACAAATTTCAAAGAAATGGTAGTTACGACAGCTCATTCGTCCCTGAAATTATCCTTTTTTGAAATAATGCACTTCAAAGTCTGCCTATATATCTCTCTCAGCCCCTCCTCTGGTGGTGGCATTCCTATTTGAGCAGCTAACCAGTCCTGATAATCAAGCTGTCATCATTTAAAGAAAATTATTAGGCATGTATGTAAATATTTAATTATTTATGGTACAAAATACAGTAAGGCCCCGTAAAGTATACATTTCGTTTTTTTTTGATAAATTACACTTAAATCTCTTAAACTATCGCCCTTTCTTATTTTGCCCTCTCACCTACTAAATTTCTCACATTGCATCATAAACTAACACTTTTACTTCACATTGTCCCAATCACAAACGTTTATTACAAATTTAACATAAACTNTATTTATGGTACAAAATACAGTAAGGCCCCGTAAAGTATACATTTCGTTTTTTTTTTATAAATTACACTTAAATCTCTTAAACTATCGCCCTTTCTTATTTTGCCCTCTCACTACTAAATTTCTCACATTGCATCATAAACTAACACTTTTACTTCACATTGTCCCAATCACAAACGTTTCTTACAAATTTAACAGAAAATTATTTTATTTTGTCCTCCCAAACTATATATTTTTTTCACTTTACCCTGACACATAAGCAATTTCCATTTAAAAAGATAACAGACGTTTGCGATTGTGACCATGTGAAACAATAATTTTAGTTTAGGGTATAATGTGAGATATCTAGTATTTGAGGGATAAAAATAAAAAAGGTCAGAGTTTAAGGGGTCAAAGTGTAATTTTCCATTTTTTTTTACTGAAAACTTAATTAACTAAGCCGATCAAATTCAAAGAAGAGAAATAAAAATATGNGCGATTGTGACCATGTGAAACAATAATTTTAGTTTAGGGTATAATGTGAGATATCTAGTATTTGAGGGATAAAAATAAAAAAGGTCAGAGTTTAAGGGGTCAAAGTGTAATTTTCCATTTTTTTAACTGAAAACTTAATTAACTAAGCCGATCAAATTCAAAGAAGAGAAATAAAAATATGACAAAACTGATACTGTACTAATTATGCTTCTTCTTAGTTTGAAAATTTAATGCATTATAGTCATCGGACTGGTAGTACATTTAATTTAATTGTGCGATCTACTTCTAATTCAATGATCATAACTCGTTAATTTTTAGTCTTCAAATTCATTCCCAATAACAATGCTCTGTTTCTGATAAANAATGCATTATAGTCATCGGACTGGTAGTACATTTAATTTAATTGTGCGATCTACTTTTAATTCAATGATCATAACTCGTTAATTTTTAGTCTTCAAATTCATTCCCAATAACAATGCTCTGTTTCTGATAAAAAAAAAAAAAACAATGCTCGGTTGAAAGTGCTACTGTGATTCTCTAGCTATTAGTTAAAATTACACAAAACATGTGGATTGTTTTTAAAACAGGAAATGCACTAGAAATCCCTTTCAAATACGAGCAATGCTATTGAAATTTAATTTGAAAATGTAATATGAGCAATGATCAAAAAAAAATTTTCGGTGAGTTTGAAAATGGAAATGTTTCAGAAATATTTTGAAAAACAAAGAAAAAAATTATAAATTTATTTCTACCACATTGGTCAAAACATACCAAAACACCTTGAAGCCTACCGAAAGATATTAAAATATAGGAATTTTAATATTCAATCATTGATTTGTTTCAGTTTACATGAAAATCGAAACGNCAAAACATGTGGATTGTTTTTAAAACAGGAAATGCACTAGAAATCCCTTTCAAATATGAGCAATGCTATTGAAATTTAATTTGAAAATGTAATATGAGCAATGATCAAAAAAATTTTTCGGTGAGTTTGAAAACGGAAATGTTTCAGAAATATTTTGAAAAACAAAGAAAAAAATTATAAATTTATTTCTACCACATTGGTCGAAACATACCAAAACACCTTGAAGCCTACCGAAAGATATTAAAATATAGGAATTTTGATATTCAATCATTGATTTGTTTCATTTTACATGAAAATCGAAATGTTTCGACCGTTTCAAAATGAAATTTTTCAGTTTGACTTTGGATTAATATTGAGTTCTAGTACTTAATGAAGTTTGCTACCAATTCAATGGTCATATAATGCATTAGACTCCCGAAATAAATTCTCAAATTAAGTACAAATAATATTATTCTAACACATAAGCATGAATTTGAAAAAAAAATATGACACGAGAAAATTGGGACAGAAAGTAACCTCTGTTGGACTTAGAGTATGAGTACGGTGCTTGGGAATTCCACATTCCTCCAAATGCTTATAGTATTCTTGAATATCAGCTAACATCTGTTCTTGGGATGGTAGAAGCACCTTGCCAGATAAAACTTGTGCAATCCACTTTGATTGTAATTCCAGCATAAGAAATATTATAGTCTGATTTTAGAAAAGGAAATAAACATAAGTAACATATAACAATTAATGATGTAACAGCAAGAAAAGCAGAATGTTTAATAGAGTAACAGCAAAAACTGACCCTTTTAGGTAATCCAACGAAAGAGAGCCTCGGAGCAAGCTGTGGAGGGAAGACATGCTTGTACAGTGGCCCAACACGGTTGTCCTCAATGCTTACAATCCCATTTGTGTTAAGAAACGGAAAATGGTGTTTATACCTGCATAAACATATTTACGACTCCTCACATGCGAGGTAAGACTGACACTCTTCGAATTCTGAAGTGACAAGTCTCGTGCACAGAGTGTCTTTTGTAAACATATGTAGAGCCAAAAAAAAAAAAGACTGCGTTTTTAGATCATACCCAGTACAATGGAGAATAGTATCTGCATGAACTATGAATCCATCTTGAAAGGCTACCATACCATCTTCTGTAACATAATCAATCTGATAGAAGGTTGAAGATTCATTTTAGGGTATATTAGGATACATTATGAACTCACTGAAAGTACGNAGATCATACCCAGTACAATGGAGAATAGTATCTGCATGAACAATGAATCCATCTTGAAAGGCTACCATACCATCTTCTGTAACATAATCAATCTGATAGAAGGTTGAAGATTCATTTTAGGGTATATTAGGATACATTATGAACTCACTGAAAGTACGTTATGTTCTTCGTATAAACGTGTAATTCTCACATATTTGATTTACTTATTGCTGTGAACACACCAACATGACTTATCATGTCAACAATTGAAACATAGTAAACAAATTACACATGCATCGAATGCCCTTCTAGCATTTTCCTTAAAAGATAAATGTTACACAAACTCACAAGCCTCATTCTCTTTGTGACATCTGAACACTTGTACCTAGCAGATCACACAATAGGGGTCTGGTTTCGTAGACAAAAATATTGTTGTTTGTTTTGGCAAAATGCTATTCGAGAAAATGAGATCCACGTATCAAAAAAGACAACCAACGATATGACAATCATATTGACTTGAATCGTTATTGACTTGAAACGTTTAATTGCAACTATGGCAAATCATATTGGCATGACACCTCGATGAGTAAATAGAGTAAATCAATTTCATGAGTTTACATAGCAATGCTTTGAGTAATGATAGTTTTTGTGACGAAGTACAATTTTTAGTGGGGATTGATATGCTAGTCCAAGGGAAATCTACCTTTAAATGCTGCCATATATTGTTGTAGTTGTCTGATTTTGAAGCTTTAACACCCGGAGATCTTGATGAAAGGTGAACTTCTTTGGCAACGGTTGCAATTTCTCTCGACATATCATAAGCGCTCGGCCCGCTTCCAATTATAACGACCACCTGTCGAATATGACTATTTATTGAAAGATTTCAAGATTAACTTTGTTTATGAGAACTCTCGTATTTATGGTTTAAGGTTGCTGTATCAGTCAACGACTTAAAGTGTTATGAGATATATCGATCGCGACATCACAACACGGTATCGACGATATTGACCTAAAAAAATGTTTAATAATGACGAGAAATTCAAGACATACCGTGTCGACGAAGATTCGTATCGGTCGATTCGGTGACGATAACTCGGCAATTTGGGATTGACTCAGATACAACTCAGCCAACTTGGTTGAATCATGTGAGACTCAAAATTTATATGTATCATATAACAAATATCGTTTTGGAAAGTATCGAGCCGAATACGACTCAACCCGAACCGACACGAACCCGACACGGATTTAGCGGGTTTTGGTGCAGTCTTAATGTGTTCGGATGGTTAATGGGTTAACTCGACAAACCCATAAAATAAACGAACCGGTTTCATATTTAACCCATAAACGCGTTTCAACCCATTTAACTCTTTAAGAGTGGTACAATAAATTTTTAAAAAACAAGTTAGGTCTCTCAGCCTCGGTCTCATCTCACACCTCCCATTTCTCATAATTATTCAAATTTAGTAGTCATTTAATGTTTATTTTTTGTCTTTATTTTTTTGTTCAGTCATGATTTATTGTTATAGTAAATAGATCAAACATATATAATGTGTAGCGAGTTAATGATTTTTCATTTAGACTTGACATTATCTAACCTACTCTCTTATTTAGCGGGTGACACACGGGTAATATGAGTATGAGTGTGACAGTTAGACTCGTTTATATAAACGAATAGATATGGATGGAGGTTTTTTTGACACAAACACGTTCTACCAGACACGAAATAGTTTCACTCGACACGATTGTCAGGCCTACTTTGAACCACGTTCATATTGCCCTAAATTGCTTTATATAGTAGGAATGCGTCCTAACTAGTAGATGATACCTTACTAGTAGAGGAAAATAAATAATCTACAACAAGAATTAGTGAGAGAAAGTGATCACAGACCTGATCACAGAATGGTTCAGGATGACGATAATTGTGACTATGAACTTGCTTTCCAGGCCATTTCTCAAAACCTACTTCAAAGATAATTAAGAGACTAAAAAATTGTAGATAATCAATCACAAAAACTGAATTCCTATGGATTCAGAGTTTAATTAAAGTGGAAAAACTAAAGAAACAATGCAGCATATGACAATGTGGTTGGTTTATCTTGTGGACCAGACAATGAGAGATTTATCCATTATGAATATCTTAATTCCGGTATAGATAATCTGTCTTTAACTGAATCGAGGAGAGATTAGTTGAAGTGCACCTAAGCTGACCCAGATTATAACCAAGAGACTCAATAACAAAAAATTTGTTAGTTAACACTCGGTTAGTGAAGTTAGTTATGCCAACTGTAACAGTATTCACGTGTGTATTCCGTTGTATAGCTCACACACTGACTGATACTATATACACGTACATGTGAATCAAAAGAATGAATGATATACTGAGATCATTCATGTTCATATCTCTCTCTCTCTAGATCTACATCTTCCTCTCTCTCTCTGAGCAGTGACCTCTATCTATTTGTTATTGTTTTTCTCCATCGGATCTAAGCTAAGATCTAAAACTCATTGCTCAATACTAAAGTTTTTCACCGTTGAAAAAAAAAAAAATGATTGGTTTCATCTGGCCGTCATGGTTTCAAGTTTCTTCTTTTCCATCTACCTTATATGTGAGTGTGTGATACGAGAATTCTAACCGGTTTCTTATATTAAAGGTATACTATGAAAAATAACGAAAACCCGAATTTTAATCATTCAAATTTAAAGTAAGAATATTGAAAATTTTACCTGGAAATTTGGCCACTCTTGGTTCTGTGTAATGACCATTACCAACCACCACAGCCTCAAAAACCTCCTCCAAACTCATCCCACTCGTTCTGGACTCCACCACCCACTCATCAATATTCCCTGAGTCAACCATTTCAACTCGGACAACGTCGGAATTGAACCGTATCAATTCATTAAGTCCAAAGTCCTTCACGAACCTCTCCAAAAACTTGAGCACCTCTTCATGACCCGGAAAATTCCTAGAATCCCCATTTTCACTCATTGTAAATGGGTAATCCGAAAACCCCATTATGGTTCGAGGAAGGTTTGTGCGAAGTGATTTATAGAGGCTACTGTGTACAATCTCTCTATTTGGGTCAAGGCCGAGTAGATCAGCCTCGACTCGTGAGTTGTACACCCATGTTCCACCGAATCGGTTTGCTTTTTCCAAGACTACAACTTGGTGGCCTTCTCTTTGAAGCTCACGAGCGGCGAGGAGGCCGGAGACTCCGGCTCCGATCACCGCCACCTTAAGAGATTGTGATAGTGCCATGGTACTATAGTGGGTAAATAATGTCCGAGAGTGAGAGGAGAAGAAAAAGGCACGTTTGAAAAGGCCACCACATCGGATAGCCTTTGTGTGGGGGGTTATATGGACGTTATAACACTTCAATTTTTTAAGTTGAAGTGTTATAATTATCTTCTAATAAAAAAAAAAAGACCACCACACGTTTCATTGTGTGTTGTTTTAATGGAAACTGTTCATTGTGTAACACACCATTTAAAAGTGGAAGAAGGTCTGAAGCAAAAAGGACAAATCGACATCATCCACATTACAATGACTCGAGACTCTGAATTATTATTTATTGTGTGAAACTAATATTTTATGATAAATTATTAGTGATCATTATATTTTTAAAAAATGAGAGAATAATGGATCCCAATGATGTAATAAAATAATTTTTATGATAGAGAATAAGTATCTGAAGGGCGTGGCTCACTTTACGACATGTGCACTTGCATTAAATGATTCCACGTAAAGATGATAAGACAAGTCACGTGATAAAAATCTCATTGGACTTGGTCATCAGCACGAAGTCGAGCTATTCAAAGAGCTTTGAAATAAAGAGAAAATGTTGGTCTTCATCATGATCGAGTTGTTTCAAACAGTAAACAAAGAGCTAAAAAAATGACTATAACTCAGGCATTCTAGTTAAATGAATTGGCATAATTGTAGGCCAGGTAGGAGGAATTACTGAAGAGATCTCAGCAACTTTCCAAACATAGCCGCCTAATTGGAGGAATGTGTACCACCTTGAATCAAGAATCATAAAAATCCTAACTGAACAGGGGGCCTATAAAAAGCACAGTTAACCAAGGTGAAAGGTACGCTGAACTCTCCTTATCTTCTTGCAATTCATTCAGTCATATTACTAATTTAAGTATCGGAATGCCTTTGATCGAAACACTTCAATCTTGGGCAATTTGTTCGTTTTGCAAGAGAAAGAAGACTAGGAGACTAAGTTCAGAAATTCGTCCTTACCAGAAATACTAATCCTTCATACGTGTGAAAGGTTCGTCAAATTTTACCTCTTACATTTTTGCCACCGTCTGTCGAAAGATTCTCATCAATCAAAACGAAAAGCCAATGTCAAGATTAAGAAGTGTCATCGGTTCACCTGTAGGCAGCTTTGCCTTGGAGAACTTCGATCCGGACTACAGAGTGTCGCTTCCATCCGATAACGACATTAGGATGCAGGTGGACAAAATTCCATCTAAACCCCGTGAGGATGATGAGTTGTCCTCAGCAAGTTTCAGACTTGCTAGACAAAATAATCAGCAAAACGACGACCGTGGTGAATCCCTTCGTGCTAAGGGGGAGAACCACCCGCTCGCAAAGTTGGTTCAGTCCCTATAGGACCGACTTGACGTGCATGACAAATTGTTTAAAAACCTATACCAGGGAAAAGGATCTAATGAAAGAAAACAAAGAGTTAAAAGCTAGACTGAAGGAAATGACCAAGAGAGAAAGACGTAACAAGGAAGGTCAACGGGAGAGTCCCAAGAAGAAGCGAGATAGAAAGGAAGATGCCAAGGAAGATGAGTACAAGAAGAAAAAACCTCAGGGGCAGGAGGAAGATTCTTAGAAGCAATTCATTACCGGAGAGCTCAACAATTGCTTGAAGAAACCGGAGCAAAAATCGGCTAGGGACTTAGCCAGAAGGGCTATAGGAGAATATGGAGACAGTACGGAGTCCTCACCTTTCACCATGTGGATCGAAAGGGGGCGAATCCTGAGTAAATTCGTCGTCTTGAACTTCAAGTTGTATGATATAAAGACCGATCTAGCCTCCCACATCAGAAATTACAAGCAGCTTATGACTTTTCATCAGAGGAATGAGTCGCTGCTCTACACCATCTTCCCGGTAGCCTAGGGGAGTCGGCCATGAAGTGGTTCAATATTTTACCTAAGGGCTCGATAGATGGATGGGCTCAGCTCACCAAGCAATGCACAGCTCGGTTCATCATGAGTAGCAAACAACCCAAAGATGTCGGGACTCTACTTACACTGAAGAAACAATGCAATAAAACTTTAAGAGAATACGCCCATCGTTACTAGGAAACGATGAATGAAGTTGAAACTTGTAACCTCGAAATTGCTGCGGCGTCCTTCAAAATTGAATTGCCAAAGGAAAACCCTTTATACTAGTCTCTTACCAGAAGGCCTGCCATAGACTAGGAGGAACTTATGGTGAGGATCGAGAAGTACGCCAAAGTCAATGACGACTTATCCAGAGACCTGGGGAAAGAGCATCCATGCAAAAAGCAGTTTAGCCGTAACAAACAGACTGAGCCGAACAGAGAGATAGGAAGAAAGAAAGAAAATGAAGGGTTTCCCTCGAAATCTCCTTTCATAGGGGTTAATACAGTGTTTAAAGAGACGATATACAAAATATTGGCTTAGATCAAAGGGAAGCCATATTTCAAGTGGCCCAATAAGCTAACAGAGAATCCTTCAAAAAAGAATCCTAATTTTAGGTGTTCCTACCATCGGGATGTAGGTCATATGACCAAGAATTACCGATGCTTAAAACAGCATTTGGAAGAGCAATTGCAAGCGGGGCATCTTGCTCAATTCATTGAGGATGGTGCCACAACCATATGTGGAAAAATCACGCTCCAAAGGGACCAGACCATGACAGCTGGTGTGATAGATGTAATTCATGCTGCAACAAACCCGCAAATGGCCACGAATAATGCTACAAGAGCATATATCTAGAAGGCCGCGAAGGAGAGAGAAGTGTATCAGTTGCGATTGTCCCCCAAAGTCAGAAACAAGAGTATGAAGATTGAGGACGCAGTCAAGACGATCTGCTTCTCTGAGTAAGATCTGATCGGGATACATCAGCCACAATATGACGCATTGGTGGTAACGCTCAGAATCGCCAATTATGATGTGAAGAGAATATTGATTGATCCAGGAAGCTTTTCTGAGATCATGTATATGGACTATTTCTTGAAGCTCGGGTTGAAACAAGAAGATTTCAAGCTAGCCAATATCCCACTGGTCTGCTTTGGTGGGAAAACGGTTCTCCCGAGATGAAGGATCACTCTTTCTGTGAAGACTAGCTCCATTGGGGTCATGGCCGAGTTTTTGGTGGTAGACACGTCCTCGGCATACAATGCCATTATGGGTCGTACCTGGTTACATGATATGAAGGCAGTACCTCAACATATCACCAAGTGCTCAGATTTTCCTCGGTAGAAGGAATAGTGAACATTCGAGGAGACCAAGTAAGTTTCAGAACATGCTTGCTAGTCTCGGTCAAAGGAAGGGATGATCATGAAAGTAGAGAAAAGAGTTCGGCAGTCGAGACAGAAAAATAACAACCAATCCTCCATAGGTCGGTTGACTCAACCGACCGAATTATTGAGGAAGGACCTAAAGTACCTTTAAGCACCGAGTAAGAGCTAGTCGACCGAGTAGTTGAAGACTTGTCTAAAGTGCCTTTAGACAAGGACAAAGACAAATGCTTCCTTTTGGGCGTCTCATTGAGCCCCGAGCAGTGAGATGAACTTATCTCACTACTAACAGAATACGTCGATGTCTTCGCATGGTCAACGCATGAAATGTCAGGCGTACCGCCCGAGGTAGCATGTCATCGATTGAACGTGGATTCGAGCTTTAAACCGATCAAGCAAAAACTTAGGAGGTCGGCACCACAGCATCAAGAAATAGTAAAAGAGGAGGTGACATGGTTGTTAGAATCCCAGACCATTAGGGAGGTTCAATATCTGGCCTGGCTATCGAATACGGTAGTAGTCAAGAATAAAAATGACAAGTGGAGGGCTTGTGTTGACTTCACCGACCTCAACAAAGCATGTCCAAAGACAACTTTCTTTTGTTGAAGATAGGCCAACTTATTGATGCAACCGCCAGACACGAGTGGATGAGCTTCTTGGATGCATATAAGGGATATCACCAGATCCCACTTGCCGAACAAGACCAAGAGAAGACCACATTTATAACACCTGAAGGGACTTACTGTTACAAAGTAATGTCCTTTGGGTTAATGAATGCCGGAGCAACCTACGAGAGGCTAGTAACAAAGATGTTTTTCCACTTGTTTGGTAAAATCATGGAAGTTTACATAGATGACATGGTGCTTAAAGTTGGAGGGCCACCAGTCACTACGCTGACTTGAGAGGAACATTTGACATACTCTGAAGATACAAAATAAAGTTGAATGCCTCGAAGTGTACCTTTGGTGTAGGCTCTAGTAAGTTCCTGGGGTTTCTGGTTACCCACTGAGGAGTTGAGGTAAATCCCGATCAAGTAAAAGCAATTGTCGAACTATAATCACCTCGGACAATTAAGGAAGTGCAAAGACTAACTAGTATGACAGTAGTGCTCGAAAGATTTATATCCCGAGCCTCTGATAAATGCAGACCTTTTTTTTCAATCGATCATAGGAATTAAGGGAGCACTTTGGAATCAGGAGTGTGAAGAAGCGTTCTTAAATATGAAGGCATACTTGGCCTCCCCACCGATTCTGACAACACCATTACCCGAGGAACGTCTCTTCCTTTATCTAGCCGTGTTCGAGTATGTAGTGAGTGGAGCACTGATGAGACATGGCCATGTAAAATTAAGCCCTGTATAGTAGGTGAGCAGAATGTTCTTGGATGTCGAGTCAAGGTACTCGCCATTAGAGAAACTCGCACTTGCCTTGGTAAGCTTGGCTAGGAAGCTAAGACACTACTTCTAGGCCCACCGAATCGCAGTACTCACGGACCAACCCTTGAAAGCTCTTTTTCGGAAGGCCAATCTATCAGGACGCGTCACTAAGTGGGCTGTGGAGCTCAGGGAGTTCGACATAGTGTTCGAGATGAGAACCGCAATCAAAAGGCAGATCGTGGTGGATTTTATTGCTGAATTCCAACCTAAGAACATTTCAAGACAGAACAGCCAGACTAACAATGTTGAAAAATTAGAGCTCAATGGCAAATGGAGTCTACCTGTAGATGGATCTTCTAATCAGAAGGGTGCTGACATT